ATTTTAAATGAATTTTCACAGAACCAGCATGGTGGCGATCACCTTATTCCCAGGGGTTATTTTCATTCATGTATTCCTTGATATTATAATAACCCTTTTTGTACAGTTTTTCTTTAATAAATCTTTTAAAGTTGTTTATTGACAAACTTTGAACATGTTCTGGGATTTTGTTGTAAAAGCGTATACATTGCCCCATAAATGAATTAAGGTACGTTGGGGTAATACCGGACGGATTTTCGAATAGTTGGAAGAGTCTGCCAAAAACTTTAATTTCTCGACATTCGTATACGTCAGATTTATGGAACATGGAGCAAACCGTTAATCGTTAAACGTAGTTTAGCTCTGAGAGTCTTTTGCTTGTGTAAACTCAACGGTTTCTGCTTTAAAGGTGTGCGAAAACTAGACATACTTTTTTATATGCATAATGAAAAATTGGCCATTAAGGAGTAAGACCGGACTTAAATTTAAAACCACTTCTACTGCTCAGAGAAAAAAGTTTATAAAAGAGATTTGTCCTATCTTTAACGCTCAAAAACATATTTCAATATGATCTATAAATTACTAGAAACATAAATGTTCCAAACGATTTTCTCTTTTTTTGTTTCTTGCCATCCGATCTTATCCCTGATATAAAGAAATAGTAATTTTATGTTTCTCAAACTCTGTTATGACATAAGATGAAATTACTCAATATAAGAGAAAGATCGGATGCATTTGATTTTATATGGGAAAAAAAAATAACAGTAAGGACTGGCGAAATGCCCTGGGATAATGCAGGAGTTAAGGAAGATATAAATATTTTAACAAAGCGGCATTTATTATTATAAATTATTTTTTAAATAATTATTATAAATTACATTTTGATTTGTAATAGAGGATAGATATAGATGTCTATGGGCCGCAGCAATCACTTAACATCAGGTGGACTGTGTGCTCCTTTGTCACCCTTATCCTATAAAAAAATGTATTTTAATGTGTACTTAAAAGTAATAAAACCATCTTATTGTTTTATTACTTTTAAATATACAGACTTGCTAACGAGACTGAGTCCAATAGTCACTTGAGTAATCGACGAAAAAATATACACGACCAATGAAAGTTTAACAACCACTGCCATATTTGTAACAGGCAAAGATCGGATAATATTCATCCGATCTTCACTCACGAGGGGAAACATCGGATCTCGGCCTACAGCGATCTTACCCCTGCACGGACCAGCTTTATTTAGCTATAACTTCATAAAAATTAGTATCCACACAAAATAATAACAAAGGAAGCCATATTCTCGCTAAAAATCGTAAATAAAAGTGATAGGGAAAGATCGGATGGACAAAAATAATACAAAAATTACATTGTTCTATAAAATGCCACGCAGCACAGGTCCCACTTGCCGGAGTGACTGGCGCGAACTGAGGGTCGGGGCAGGATGAAATGGCGTCGTGTAGCATATTGTTAGCTTTTCAAAATATAGCATAATTCGCCGGGAATTTGAATCCTACGGTCTTGCCCCATCACCGATCTTACCCCAACGTACCTTACTAATTCTGTGGAGTCTAATAAGTGGCATTACAAGCTTATGTTTGTTCCTAGTATTTAAGGTATGAACATCCTTATTCTTATTAAAGCTATTTATGTTTTTATGTACATACATTACATTTTCATAAATATATTGCGATGCCAAAGTTAATATGTTTATTTCTTTAAATTTTTCTCTGAGGGACTCTTTACAATTTAGATTATAAATCGCCCGTACGGCTCTCTTTTGCAAAACAAATATAGCTTCAATATCAGTCGTGTAGCGGACAGCGAGGAGGCCGCCACCCCGTCGCCCCTTCACACCCCGGTGGGCCCCGCGCACCCCGCACACCGGCAGCGGATCACGCGATGTCGCCGACCAATCAACAAGTCGCATTACCCCATAGCAAAATTCCATAAGACATTACGCTATGAAAGTAACTAAAATACACTAACCTAGCTGTCTCAACATCTGTGAGACTTCTAATCTTTCTTACAGCATATGCTGCAGAACTAAGTCTGCTGGCTAATTTAGATATATGGGGGCCCCATTGAATTTTCGCGTCAATAGTAATACCGAGAAAAACAATGGTATCCACAAGACTCAACTCCTTCCCATTTAAGAGCACATTGGTTTTCGAATGTTTTACATTAGGTATTGTAAATTTAATACATTTTGTCTTATTGCCGTTTAAGAGCAAATTGTTGGCGTTAAACCAATGTACTAGTTTCGATAGAGCATTATTTACAGCGTCATATTTAATTGACTGCCGTTTCAGTTTGAAAATTAAAGATGTATCGTCAGCAAATAATACTATATCGTGATTGTCCCCTGCAAGATAAGGTAAGTCATTAATATAGATTAAGAACAGGAATGGGCCAAGAATCGAGCCCTGAGGAATGCCCATTGATACTACCGATCCGGAGGAACATTTACCATTGATGACGACTGTTGAACACATAGTAGCAAAATTGGTAATAGAAAAACGAATCAACTTTTCCTTGAAATAATTTTACATATCACATGCAATGTTGCCACAGTGTCATTAAAGACAAACAAATGTGTATTTCTAATTTGAAAAAAAAAAAGTAACAAGCCAAAGTCAAGTCAAAGAGAAAAATTATTAGTGTTGGAAGAAAAAAGAACTAGAAAGAAAGCTCTAAACAGAAAATATTTGAAAAAAAAGACTTATAAATCAAATATACAGTGAAACCTGGATAACTGTACCCCGAGCACGAACATTTTGCTCTATAGTACAGTTTACGAGACAGTTTAGTTTCAGTAAAATTTTGTATGGGAATTTGAACAGCGCTCCGTGAGCGTATTTGGAACTAAAATTTGGAAGCACGAACATCTAACGCTGCGTTATGCGTAGCTATCGTTTGGTTTAAGTAATCGTAAGACGCAAAATGTGTGGATTTTGGCAGCACGAATCTATTTTTGACGTACGTTATCGTCTATCCACTGTAGAGAACTACGAAATCTTTCTCACCGACATTTTTACAGCATTTTTGGGATCTTAAGGGATCTGCAAATTTATTTCAGTAAAAGAGGTATTCCCACGAAGCAAATGCAAAGTATTTGCTTTGTATTTTTGCTCCGTGAGTATTCCACTTATCCAAGTATAAATAAATATCTGTCTAATTTACAGAGGGTTCCAGCAATAGAGTTGAGAATAGAGGTTATTTCAGTTATGGAGGTGCGATTATTAAATAAAATAACGTATTTTATAAACATAATACACAAACATCCGGAGGATAACAAATCCGAACTAAAATGGGAAATCACTTTTACACAATTAGCCAAGTGCGGGGATTTGCGGGTAGAATAAGAAGTAGTAAACAAAACTGTCCACAAAATATAGTCTCAGTAAAAGAGGTAAAATATACTCGCTGTCTCAATTATAGAGATAATTATGACGAATAAAATCGAAAGAACTAATGCCTAAAATATAGTCTCAGTAAAATAGGTAAAACACACTCGCTGTATCAATTATAGAGGTATCTACTTCTAACGATAAAATCGAAGAACCAATCCCAGATATAGAGGTTTGTTTTGTCCATAGATTATCTATGGTTTTGTCCAACTAACAGAGATAATTCAGTGGCGGTGCAAGTGTCGGGACTAAAGTAAGGTATGGAGGTTTCTCGCTTATCCAGGTCCCACTTAACCAAGTTTCACTGTATATACATTCAAAAAGAAAAAGTCCTGTCGGGTGCCAGTTTATAGAGCTATGTGGCTGCCCCATTCCGACATTTTTCGTTTGTAGAATGCAAAGACATTTAAGTTACCTATATATTTAAATCTCTTTGGTTGAATGCGAATTTCTTCGTTTAGATTTTACCACGCAGATAAACTTTATGCATCTCTTATCTCGCGCAATGAGAGCTATTTTCCTTCCATTCAACTTCCCTATAGGATCAGAGAGAGTGAAGAACCAAGTCTCGATTCCCATGGTCATTACTTATAACCCGTTCGGTATCCACCCTTTTGCTTCTTTTGTATTTGAATGAGGAGCAGTTAGTAATAAATAAGTAATAAAAAATTACAGGTATTAATTTTTTATGAATAAGCAAATTATAAATAGAAATTAGCGCCATCTACATCATCTAAAAGTAGAAAGAACTTATGAAATTGAACAAAAAACGTCACGATATCGTTCATAATGTATCAATAGATGTCGCGTTAAGTAAAAATTCTAAACAAAGGAGGTTGCAAAATTTTATTTTTTAAATAATTTATTTAAAAATTATTTGAGAACACGTTTCAAAAAATGTGTCTTGTTATTCATTATTTTGAGTTTAATTCTATTTAAAATATTTCTACAAGAAGAAGAAAAAGACGTTTCAGATAGTTATCTGACTGATCCAATGGGATCCCAAAGAAAAATAAAAAAGCTTACAAATATAGAATATTAAAGTAATTTGATCAATATAACATTATTTTCTTTACTACATTCCTTTTTTATTGGAAAATCTCCTAAACCTTGTTAAATAAAATCAGTCAAAATTATCAAAATAGAAAAATTCTACTATTCTACTTAATAATTTAGATCGATAGGTACGGAATACTAATTGTACAAGTCTAGCATACTTTATCATCGTCATCATCATCATCATCATCATCCTATCAAAAGTCCATCCCATACATATATAACAGAGGGCATATTGGCCATATTTGCCACGCTTGCCAGGCGGGTCTGCACGGCAACCACAGTTTTTCTTATTTTAAATTGTTAACAAAAACATGTCGCTGTTCATCTTCTGTTTCATTTCCCTCTGTCGCTTCTTACGACATCTATGACTAATATGACTAATATGAAGTAGCGGATTCTTTTAACGCTTGACCGATTTTTAATAATTAAAACATATGTAATACGAATCATTATTTAATGTCCCTTATTTTACACTGTCACATTGATTAATAAAAAATAAAATAGAAACAAGTACAAAGTAATCTTACAAAGTATTTACACAAAAATCAATCAGCCTGGTTCGGGCATGTGGCAGTTCGGTGCTGCCACCGGCACAGGTGGAGCAGGTTCCCCCTGGAGCTGGGTGAGCGCGCAACGCACCGCTGACAATGTTTCAGGCGTCGATTTCCTGCTCCTGGGAGCGTTGGGTCGGTGCAGACGCGACACTCGCTCGGCTGTTGCAGTTGCTTCTATCAGAAAAATTGTATCAATGCTTTTAGAATTATAGCGTCATTGAGTATAATTCATATACCTTATTAAACTAGTGGTAAAATTAAAAATGTTGTACAACCGGCTTCAATATAATTAAAATGAGTCAATTAAAGTCTAAGTCAATTAAATACGCATTATTGAGGGTAAGCCAAAAACTACTGGTCAGATCTTGATCAAATTTATATGGGACCACATGAGACGCACAAGCTTTAAAAAAATAAAGAATCATCAAAATCAGTTCACCCTGAAAAAAATAGTTGAATTGAGACCCTCCTTCTTTTTTGAAGTCGGTTACAAATACCTGCAATATCGCCTGATTATAATCAAAAGTTTGCTAACTGGGTTTCTTGTTGGTTCTTCGACTTAACGAAAAGTAGCTAGATTAACGTCTTCTAAATTAAAACATTGTTTTAATATTTATTTATTTACTCTTTATTGTACAGCAAAATACAAAATAACGAGTACAGTTAAATCTAAAGTAGAATATGTACAAAAGGCGGTCTTATCACTCTGAAAGTGATCTCTTCCAGAGAACCTTAGAGTAGAGAACTGATGCAAACAATAGTTAAATTAAAAATAGAGGGGGGCGTACAAAATAAAAATAAAAATATGAACATACGTATAAATAAAGATAAGTGAAAATTATATATAATATCACATAATAGATTAAATGAAAAAAGTACGAAAAAGGAAAAGTAATATATCTAGTAGCGTTCTAAGTAATACGATTTTACAAAACTTTTGAAAGAATGAAGAGATTGAGCACGACGAATGTGGAAAGGTAAAGAGTTCCACCAACGCACAGCAGTTACAGTAAAGGATTTCTTAAAAAAGGAGGAAGATTGCAAAGGAGTAGAGAGAGAAAGATTGACAGAGGATCAAAAGAACCGATTATGGGTAAGAGAAAGATACTGTAAAAGGCTTTTTAAAAAATGAGAAGTGGAAGGATTAAACAGCACGCCTACAAAGTGGAGAGAATGTGAGTGGGCCTGACGTATGTACATTGTACACATACATATTATAATGTACGCCTGATGGTTTTATCAAGACAGTAAAGTTGTTTAGCTGATTGGTGCTATTAAATACTTCTATTGAGCAACACTTAAACAGCTCCAAACAAAAAGGAGAATTAAAATATAACTTTAACCATTCACATAAGAAATTTATGGAAAATATATACGTCGCATACATTGCTCAAAATAGTGCCCAGTCAAAATACTTACGATTGATTCTAGGTCGTTCTCTATCCGTAATGTTCTCCAATCTCTTACAACATGTGCAGAAATAACAAGGTACCCCTGGTACCCCGCAGCAGAACGCTCGCCACAACCATTTGTTCAGAGTGCTGCCGGCCCTCGACCAGATCGTAGGTCTGTCATCGTGGTAGTTGTAAATGAAGTCACGGTTCATTACCATTAATTATAATTTCATTGGTACTAGTGATGTTGATCTTGATGGTTAATAAATTATGACATTATGTGTCATGCGATGACGTATGAAAATATTTTTAATGTTATTTGAAAAGTTTGGTTAGCGGGCTAGTGGTTATTAATAATCAAGTGATAAAACTGCAAATACCCTAAACATCTAGCAATATTGATTTCTTATATTTACGCGAACACTACACATTGAATAAAAGTATTTTTTTACGGATTTTAACGCGTTTAATTTGCGTGACCATGGGTTGCTGTAAAGCACCCGAAACGTCGGGAATTAAAATAGTAAATTAAACGCGATAAAATTCGTAAAAAATAGTTTTATTCAATCTAATATTATTATTTTAGGCTATAACGACAAGTTTTCTCCTTAAGGCTACAGAGTTTTAAAGTTGACTCACATCGAATCATTAGCGCCACTTTGATTTCTTTTTTTACAGCAAATTATTGTTTCAGAGTAAAATATTTTGATAAAACATAAATACCCAGATTATAAATAATGGCTACATATTTTTTTTTTGGTTCATCTTTGTGGTTTATGTTAGATAAATCAAACGGTAAATAGAGCTCTCTCGCACCCGACGCAATTTCGAGCTTTGTTCGTGTACCATTATAAGGCAATCGATAATAAAAAGGCGAAATCTATTCAGCGCGTTAATAGCTAAACATCTTCATCTCCAAAATGCGCTGTTTCTTTTTTTTTAAATATCTTTCATTGTCTCAAATAAGAGGTCTCAATTTCGTCAAATTTCGCTGTTTTCACCTCATAAAAAACTATTTGGTTCATAGCAATTGCTGAAAATATTTATGCTATAATTATTTTTTTCTCAAGGGCAGGTGTTTAATTAGACAAATATTAAAAAATAATCATTTAAACTACTTTATTTCAAAATTAATAATTATTTCGATCGACCTATTAGATAATGACTTTATAAACAATAATTGCGGGCAATATTCCTTAGAAGCCGCTGAGCGGCTGTAGTCTCCGCTAGGAGTAAAGTATTCTGTGGGCTGTAGCGTTCAGACGTCTTGTCTGTGCCAAATTTTTGCGCTTCCTCTCGCTCTAACATTCCTCTTTCTCTCTCTTTCCCTAACCTTGGTTGTGCATTGTTACGAATTGAAAGTTGCTCTACTTTATTATTTTTTGCATATAATTCTTTAAGGGTTTATAAATTATTTTGTATTTGTTTTATAACTTTTAATCTCGATATGGACCATAAACGTAAAAAATATGCTTGTACCAGAAAAAGAAAATTGAAATCAAACGTTGAAGCAATGAACAGAAATAGACTTCAAAGGTAAGTTTTTTTGTGTTTCATAGTACAATAGTTAACAACGTCCATATGTGTGAGCACTTGGTTAAATATTAGGTATATATTTAGGTAGGTACTTTTAAGAATTGTTTATAAATGAGTTGCATATTTGTACCCAGGTCCGCTGCTGGTTCTCGCCAACCATTGTCAGATGTTAGCAACATTGAAATTGACGAACACCGTTTATCAGGACATGACGAAAGTAGACTTTTACGAACGACTTTAACAAATATAGAGTCTGTAACAAAGCCTGACAGTCAAGATATGATGAATAAAAAGGAAAGACGGAAACGAAAGTTTGAGGAGGCTTTTCCCTTTCGCCGAATTTCAGTAAGAAAACGTCAGGAGCTTATAAATGTTAGTCAAAACCACGAGCTACAAATTGAAAATTTTACAGAAATGACCAATGATGCAGAACTTTTTTGCCTAGACGGACGAAGAATCGTATCGATCAGATATTTTTTTAGAAATTTTAGGGAAGATTGCTGATCATAATGCTAAATCTTTTGGATGCAGATATACAAATCTGAAATGTATCGGTGAGCGACGAAAAGGTTTTGTATCAAAATTACGTTTTAAGTGTGAACTCTGCAATTCAGAGTTCGACATATGCACTGAAGATCCATCTAACACTTGTGATGTAAATCACGGTGTTGTTGCAGGTACTATTAGTATTGGCTGTGGGTTAAGCAATTTGAATGAATTATCAGGTAATACCGATATACCTGGTATGTCAAAAAATTTATACGCCCAAACAAGCAAAAAAGTTTATGAATGGTTCAATATAACGGCAGTGGAAGAAATGACCAAGGCTGGCGTCGAGGAGGCTGAACATGCAAAAAAAATTGGAAATGTAGACAGTGAAAGCACACCAATGATTGACGTGATAGCTGACGGATGTTGGTCAAAAAGATCATTCCGTAATAATTATTCAGCATCATCGGGAGCAGCAGCAATAATCGGTGCATATACTGGTAAAATATTGTACCTTGGCGTGAAGAATAAATACTGCATTGTATGAGCAAAAGCTGAAAACAAAAAAACTGAACCAGCAAACCACATATGCTACAAGAATTTTTCTGGCAGTTCTTCCAGTATGGAGTCAACAACACTCGTTGAAGGGTTTAAATCCTCACTTGAAACTCATGGATTAATTTATGCTAGATTAATATCAGACGGCGATTCAAGTACTTATAAAAAAATATTAGATAGCAATCCCTATAAAAACTGCAAGGTTCAGAAGATCGAGTGTAGAAACCATCTTCTAAGAAATCTGTGTAACAAGTTGAGAGCACTTACTAAGGATTCACATATACCTATTCAATCAAGGAAACTTTTAACGGACTTCAAAATTATGAAATTACGCAGATATATGGTGCGGGCTATTAAGCTACGGAAACGCGAAGAAGTATCTGACAATCAGAAAATGATCAAACTTCGATCAGATATTATGAATGCATTATACCATTCTTTTGGTAGTCACTTTAACTGCGATGATGCTATATGCCCCGCGACTGACAAAACTGATCGTAATACGGCACCTGACTTAACGAACACAGTTTTGTGGAGAAAAATGAGTCAAATTGTCTCATTCTTAGCTTCAAATGCTAAAAGTCTCGTTTTTGACGTAGATAGCAATCCCGCTGAAACATTCAATTCGGTGATTGCTAAATATGTGGGAGGCAAACGAATTAATTACACACAAAGAAATTCATACCAAGAAAGGTGTGTGGCTGCAGCAATTTCTTTTAACACGAAAAAGCCAATATATACAATCTATAAGCGCATATTTGGCAAACCCACTGGTAAATATACGAATTCATATGAGACACAAAAACTGAAAAGAAAAGTGTACAAAAGATCTTTTCGAAAAAGATTTCGTAGAAATATGGATGATCCAGATTATGGACAAAAAGCACAAAGACCAGATATGACTGAAGAAGATTTTCAGATGTCAAAAAGTGAATTTCTTAAGCAAATGGAACTTTCAGACCAACAAAGAGACGACCTACAGATACATACGATAGATCAAAGTTCTAACCAAGAATGGTTAGAAAACAGAAAAAATCGATTAACCGCGTCTATATTTGGTAAGATATGTAAACGGAAAGAAAACATCAGCTGCGCTCCGTTAGTGAGATCTATTGTGAAACCGCAAATCATATCTAATGTTCCATCGATAAAATATGGCAAAGCTAATGAACAAACAGCATTGGCTCAGTTATCTCGGCAGGAAAGTATTACAATTACTCGCTGCGGTCTATATATACATAAAACACTACAATTTTTAGGGGCGAGTCCCGATGGTATTTATAAAAATAAAGAGGGAAAAACGGGACTAATAGAAATAAAATGTCCATTTTCTGCAAAAAATATGCAATCTGACGAAGCTGTTAAAGCGAAGAAAATAAAATTTTGGAAGTACAATGCAAAAAATAACACTTTTTCGGTTGACAAAAACCACGATTATTATTTTCAAATTCAGGGTCAGTTAAACATTACGGAGATGGATATGTGCTTATTTGCCATATGGACTGGAGAGGAGCATTCTATGAAAATAGAATATGTTAAGAGAGACCCTGCGTTCTGGCAGGACAAAATGGTAGGCCCATTGTCTAAATTTTATTTGAATTGTCTGCTTCCTGAGCTAATTGATTCTCGCATGGAACGCTCGATGCCAATCAAAGACCCTCCATACATCATTCAAGCCATTGAGAATAAATTTAAAAAAAATCAAAATAAATCACGCGCTAAGTCGTCTGTCGATGCTGCTGTGCAAGAATAGTAATTTATGCATATAGGTAAATGCTATACAAAGTTACATTATACTTTAATGAGAGACTATAAATATGTGTGATAGTGGACTGTTTGTACTTATATAAAAATTATTTTGAGATTTATTTAAATCTATTTTAGTATTTAAAACTACTTGAAGTACTTGACGGATTTTCGATAGTGTCATCGACTTATTACGAAACCCTCAGTGCACGACTCATTCTAGCACTTGCCAGATTCATTTGAATAATCAATAATACGAGTACATATTATACAGGTTCTAGATGATTATCTTTTATAAACCTTTTCAACAAAACAACAAAAATTATACAAACTTAAAATATTTTTTTTTTGTGTAACAGTTTTTGTAATAAAAGCAGGGAACAAAAATAGTTAGATATGAGGTAGAAAATCAGTATGTGAAAATTTGTTAGCTAATTATCAATAATCCTGTATATTAGGTAAATTGATACTGGAAAATCTTAGTAGAGCAACTTTCCACGCTACGGCCTGAAAGATGACCGCGGTGACGGCACATGATGTGGCGGGGCAGGGAGGGTGTAGATGTGTCACCAGAACGCGATTTTTCTTTTTTGCTCTGAAAGACTGGGCTCTTAAAATGCTTTGGTTTTTCATTTACCTAATATAATGCGAAAGAAGTCAGTACATAACAATAGTGTTCGCAATAATTCGATTGTTACGTTGTCACCCCTGACGACTAAGATGGAATCCCTCGTTACCATTAAAAGTTGTCGCCGGTTCTCTTCAATCACTATACAGAACACAGCAGCATTATGCTGCTATTTTACGCTGATATTGTGTGGGAGTGTGGTTCCTCCCCGGTGGAGCCGTTGTTGCAACCATAATATAGCTGCAGCGTGGCTCT